AGACAAACATCACATGATCTCGCTTAAATGTGGAATCTAAAGAACTTAATGAACTGGTGAACAGAATAGATTCAATGACATGAAAACATGGATGAGACTGACGAATGTCAGAGGGATGGAATAGGGAGGGTGGGTGGAGGGGGAGAGATTAACCAAAGAATTTATATGCATATATGCACAAGCCAAGGACACTGACAATGGTGGGGAGAGTGACTGGGGAGGGGGATGGGATGGGGTGGAAAGGATCATTGGGGAGAAAAAGGAACATCTATAATATTTTAAACAAAAATAAAATTTAAAAATAAAAAAAATTAAAAATTAAAATAAATAAATATATCTTTATTGATTTCAGAGAGAGGAAGGGAGAGGGGGAGAGAGAGAGATAGAAACATTAATGATGAGAGAGTCATCATTGATCGGCTGCCTCCTGCATGCCCCCGAATGGGGATCGTGCCCGAAACCCCGGGCATGTTCTCTGATCGGGAGTAGAACCACGGTCTCCTGGATCCTAGGTCAATGCTCAACCGCTGAGCCATGCTGGCTGGGCAGGAGCCTATGTTTTCATTTTGCACGAGGCCCCACAGATTCTGCAGCCATCCTGCCTGCCTCTGAATCCTTGCCTCAGACTCTCCTTTTGGAAAACCCAAACTGTGACACAACCCTCTGCCCCTTTCAAGGGGAAGGTCCTTGAGGTCGGAGGCTGGGGTCCCTGCCTGAGCCTTAGGCCTTTTTCCTCAGGGCTCTGTCTGGGCCTCATTCCTCAAATACCAGGGGCACCTCCTGTGGCCCCAGTGGTGACCAAGGCGCTCTCCAAGCCCTCAAAGAGCCAAAGGTAAAGATAAACAAGTAAACAGATGATTTTAATAAAGTGAGACAAGTGCCACGCAGATGTGGGCGGCTGGCGGGGCTGTGGGCATTGGGTTCTCCCTGCCGGTCCATGAAGGCGCCTGCTCTGGTGCAGCGTGCCCACCTGTGGCCCTGGGCTCTCCCTCGCTGAACATGGACCTTCCCCTGGCTGGAGGGGACCCACAGGAGGCACGTCGGCCCCTGGGTTTGGAACAAACACATTTATTGCAGTAAAGGCGTGGCAGGTGCTGGGGCGCGGGTTCACCAGGCGAAGAGTGGCTTGCTGTCCTCCTTGGAGAGCTCGCACAGGCAGTTGAGCAGCAGGAGCGAGTCGCCCAGGAACTTGGGGGGCACGATGTCGATGACCAGCTTGCGCAGGGCGGCCGGGCTGCTGTGCAGCGGGTTAGCACGCAGGTCAGGCCGCTGCTTCAGGATGCCATAGGTGTTGATGAGGAACTCACTGAACACGGGGTGCACATCGCGGTTGTAACCCAGCTTCTCCAGGCGCGCCATCAGCACCAGGTAGCGGTGTGTCAGCTCCCGAAGCTTCTTCTCGTCCACGGCTCCATCCAGGGACTTGGTGGATGTCTGGGGACACAGTGCATGGGGAAGGTGAGGCTGGGCCAAGAACCGGCCACGTGAGGCCCTGGTGGGCACAGTGACCAGATTTCCATTAAGGAAGCTTCATGGATGAGGGAAAAGGCCGAGCCAAGCCCCTCACCACGGCAAGCCAGGTCTCCCACTCTCCACTCCAGCAGACAGTATCAGGGACAAAAGCAGGGCCCCATCCTGGGTGAGGAGGAAGCGGACGTTCTCTGTGACCCTGGGAGCCACTCCTGAGACTGTCCCAGGCCACAAAGCAGAGATGTTCATGGCAGAGACTTAGCATACCCCACGGTGTGTGTACCACGGGTGAGAGGGCAGGGAGGGTACTGGGGCAGGGAGGGGATCCCAGGGCAGGAAGGTGACTCCCATGGGGCAAGGAGGCATACCTGCTTGATCTTCTCAGGGATGTTGGACACAGTAAAGCCATACAGCCGGGTTACCCCAGGGAAGACATAGGCCAGGATGCGCCGGTCCAGCTGGAAGGCAATCTCCCCAACAATGCGCCCGTCCTTCTCTGCATTGGTGAAGCTGTGGATCTCTGCAGGGCAGGGGTGGGGAGGATGGGGAGCACAGGGTCAAAAGCCACCCACCTTCCTCCTGCCTGTGCTCCAGTATCCATTTTAGGGAAAAGATCTCTTTGAATGTGGCTGCTGCAGGTTCTGGGTGAAGACTGTGGGGCCACCAGCAGGAGCTCCCCAAGGGCCCTGGTGCGGCCCTATCAAGGATGTAAGGGCACCTTCCTCCAGCCCCTACCGTGAGGGTAAAAGAAAACTGAATTTTCTGTTGCCAAAAAGGGAAAGGACCCTTTCTCTCTTCCCTTTTCTTAACATGTTCCCTGGGAAACTTGGGATACTGTCCTTGCTCCATCCCTTTGGGATGTTTTACAACCCAGAATTGTTTTTCTTGTCCTCCTATTACTAGGGAGTCTGCCCAGCCACCTGGGTCAAGCGTGACCAGTTTGTCACAGAGACCCCAGCCCTATGACCAGGTGAATATGGGATGCCCAGGCCTGTCCGATCACCTGAGCGCAGGGTGCTGAGTAACATGAGAAACATATGTAAAGCATGTAATGGGTCCAGTCTGCCTGGCTGGTGAAAGGAGAGATTCTGTCAGTCTTGGCAACCTCTGTGCCTCGCCAGTGGCTTAATGTTTATTCGATAAGAAGACTCCTTTTGTACATTTGTGCAGAGGATTTCTGGGTTGGCAAAAGATTCTATTTTTAGTAATTTCCTGGATGTTACTGGGCACATGGACCACCCTTCCTCTCCAAGTCTCCCCTCTTATATCCTTCACAGACAGCAAAAATTCTTAACAAAAATTTAGCAAATTGAATTCAATGATACAGGAAAGTATAATATATCATGACTAAGTAGGATTTATCTCGGCAATGCAGGGGTGGTTTTCAAATTCAAAAATTAATGTAATATATCAACAGACTACAAATGAAAAACAAATGATCATCTTAAGGATCATCTCAATAAATGCAGAAAAGGTGTTCAACAAAGTCCAATAACCATTCATGACAGCTAAGCAAACTAAAAATTAAAGGGCAGTTCTTCAACCAGATGAAGGCATATACAAAAACCTTAGCTAACATCATACTTAATGGTGACAGAATGAATGCTTTCCCCTAAATCAAGAAAAGAAATAACTGTTCACTGTCACCATTTCTATTTGACATTATTCTAGGGGTTCTAGCCAATGCAATAAGACAAGAAAAAAAGCCATACAGATTAGAAATGAAAAAAATAACCTCGTTTTTATTTGCAATTGACATGATCATCTATCTTAAGGAATCTTTTTTTAAAAGCTGCCAGAACAAATAATTGAGTTCAGTAAGGTTGCAGGACACAAAGTTGCATTTTCCAGGATTCTCCAGAGAAACAGAAACAGAACCATTGGGGTTTTGGGGGTGTATGTATGTGTTTGTTATGAGGAATTGGCTCACATGATTATGAAGACTGATGAGTCCCAAGCTCTGCAGGGTGAGTCAGCAAGCTGGAGCCCAAGAAGGCTGATAATATAGCTCCAGTCTGAGCTCAAAGGTCTGAGAACCAATAGAACCAGTTGAGAGGCAGCAAGCATGAGACCCAAGATGTTTCCGTTGGAGTCCAAAGGCAGTCAGGCAGGAATAATTCTCTCTTCGTTGGAAGGGGTCAGCCTTTTTGTCCTATTCAGGCCTTCAACTGATTGGATAAGGCCCACCTACATTAAGAAGAGCTATCTGCTTTATTTAGGCTATTGATTTAAATATTGAACTCATCCAAAAACACCTTCACAGAAACACTCAGAATACCCAGGATAATGCTTGACCAAATATCTGGACACCTAAATAACTGGAAAGATATAAACTGTTCATGGATCTGAAAACTCAACATTGTTAAGGTATCATTTCACTGGAAACTGATCTAATTGATCTGTAGATCCAGGACAATCCCAATCAAAATCCCAGCAAGCTTTCTTGCAGAAATGAACAAGTTGGTTCTAAAGTTCATATGGAAATGCAAAGGACCTAGAATAGCCAGGACACCTTTCCAAAAAGAGAGCAAAGTGGAAGAACGTATACAGTCTGGTTTACGGTCTTATTATAAAGCTACAGTAACTGACACAGTATATATTGGAATCAATATAAACACTGACAAATAGAATAGCCTGGAGAATCAAGAAATAGACTCATACATATATACAATTGATTTTTGAAAAAAGTGTCAAATAAATTCAATGAGGAAAAGCTTTTTTTTTTAATTCTCACCCAAAGATATGTTTCTATTGATTTTAGAGAGAGGGGAAGAGAGAAAGAAAGATTTATGTGAGATAAAAACATCAATCAGTTGCCTTCTGTATGCACCCCAAACCCAATCTGGGTATGTGCCCTGATTGTGATTCAAGCCCATGACCTTTCAATATACTGGATGACACTCCAGCCAACTGAGCCACACTGGCCAGGTCAAGATAATCTTTTTAAATATTGGTGCAGGAAGAAGTGGACATCTAATGCAAGCCTCATACTATATACAAAAATTAGCTTGTAATTGACTAGGAACCTAAATGTAAAACATAAAACTATACAACTTCTGGAAGAATATTTGTGATCTTGAGTTTGGCAAAGATTTCTTAAATAGGACAGAAAAAGCATGAAGTATATAAAAGAAAAAAATTCAATAAACCAGGCTTCATGAAATTAAATTATTTTGCTCTTTAAAAAACAGTTATGAAGATGGAAAAGCCACAGACTGGGAGACCATATTTGCAAAACATACACCCCAAAAGAACTTGTATCCAGAGTATATAAAGAACTCTTACAGCACAGTGACAAGCAACTCAATTTTCTTTAAATGGGCAAAAGATTTGGACAGATGCCCTAGATCCTGGCCTCCCAACTACACTCTTCTCCCTGTGCTAGATGGATGGAGAAGTTGTGCCCAGCTGGCGTCCCAGACCCACCCTACCCAACTGCCGACCACTGCACCATGTGCCCACCTAGTGCTCCCCCCTCACTGTACCATTAAGGTAGTAGCTCCTCCTGGTCCTGTCCCCCGAGGGCAGGCTGCTCTCAGAGAAGCACACCTTCTTGGGCCGGACCATCTCCCTGGGCTCCAGCAGTGTCTTGTCTACCAGTGGATCCTGCAAGGAGTTCAGGAGTGGGTACAGCTTCCTGTCAGCACTACGGGGGGGGTGCAGTTCCTGGGGGCTGAGGAAAGCCTTGAAGGACCCCTGGGACGAGGCTGCACAGCCTGGAGAAGCATTATCCTCATTGGAGAGGGGGGCGTGTGAGCACAGCAGGTCGTCCAGGGAGGATGTCTGCAGCTGGGAGGGCGCCTCAGGGATGCTGGTGAACCTTCCAATATCTGGAACTGGGACAGGGAGGAAAGAGAGGAGAGGTCAGGCTGATGTTCCTAAAACATCCCCAGAAGTGTAGAGGACACTTTAAGAACACTCCTACACCCCACCCCAAGCTCTGACACATGCTCACATCCCCCATCTTCAGAGCCCTTTCCATTTCCCTCTGGAGGAGGTCAAGGAGGTGAGTGCAGCAACTGTGGGCCGCGCCCCTGCCTGAGGAAGCCACCAGCCTGGAATTTATGGGCCCAGCAAGCATTCGTGCCTCCTCCATAGCTTCTACCCACCTGTGCATCCACACCTAAGGCAGAGTGACCTTGACATGCTTTTCTAATTTTATGTAAATGGTATTAACCTATGCCCCTTTTATTTTACAAAATACCTTTTTGCTGCAGCATTATCATTTTTGAGATGTATCCATGTCGAGTCACTTGGAAGCTACCTGGTTCATTTAACCATTTCCTGGCACACGTGCAAATGCACACACACAGGCACAGTGATATTTTTATCCATTGTCTTATTGATGCATGAGGGGCTATTTCCAGGTTTTCTTGTAAAAGTAAAGCTGTGATCAGTATCCCTTGACACACCTCCTTGCTCAAAGGGAGCACCTTCTGCTGTCTACACCTGGGCTCAGGTGTGTGCATGTTTAGCTTTGTTTTCTACAACAGCAGTGGAGGTTCCGTGCACACCAACAGCTTCTGATCCCACCCCCTCATCACTCCTTGGTACAGGAAGACCAAGCTGATGATGACACTTAGCTCTTCCGTAAGCCGTGGTGATGCTGAACATCTCGTGAGTCCATGGGCCTCTCAGGTTTCCATTCTGTGAATTATCTATGCCTCTTCTTTGCTCATTTTTTTATTTATTTTTTATTTTTTGGTCAGGCAGTTGTTTTAAATTATTTGTAGCAGTTCCTTTTGTACTCTGCATCCTAATTCCTTGTGGAGAAAATATCTTCTCCCAGAGGCTGCCTTGCTGATATCTTAACCCTTTTATAGTGATTCTTATCATACACAATTTTTAAAAATTTAACCTGTCAAATTTAACCTATCAATTCTTCTTTGATTTATGAAATCTTTTTCTACCCCTGTATCATGACTTTTCTCCTAGTAATAAAGTGAGTATATATATTTGAAAAAAGTTTGAGCTATATTACAAAATTAAACGCTAAAATGTGCCTACTCAGAAACCAACTAATCTATCCCCAGCAATGCTTACTTCCAAAAACTGTTCTACAGAAAGAAAGTAATCAGTATGAGTCCTGCCTCCTGCCTGCCCACACAGCCAGCACAGCGAGTCCTAGCAGCCAGCTGAGGGCCTCCCAGCCCCTGCCCCAGCCAACTGCATGGCCCAGAAACTGTCGACGAACATCTTCCAAGAATTCACCCAGCATGAGACAGCAAAACCCTTCGGTCCTGGGTCCTTCCCCAGAGGAGAGTAGAGCCCTGTGCTCAGAAAGGGGGTTCTGTCCCAGTAGTGGGGCAGGGGCAGGACCACCTCACCTCAGAAACCTGCAGAAGAGTGCCTTCTATTGCCAGCTTTAAAGAGATTTTTGTTGTGGTCAGGTGGGTTTGGGCTTTGCTTTTCACTTATATTTAGTAAATAGTAATTCCCTCCTATTATTCCCAAGACCTCAATAAAGTCGTGTTAAACATTTTAAAAAATTTAATCGTCAGTCAAGTACTAAATGTAAGTATAATTTTAAGCCACATTATAATAAAACTATTACAGGAATAGTAAGAGTCAACAGAAAACTGTCTCCTCAGAATTAAAAGGATTCTCCTGAGTAATGATCACGTCAAAAATAAAATAAAAATAGAAAAACACAACCATTGAGAAAGAATGAAAATCAGAACATTATAGTAAAACATCAGTACATTTAAAACTGTATTTATCATGAAATTAGTAATGTAGGTGCTTTAATTACTTCTTAAAAATCACCAAAAGAAATTAAACATTCAAATAAAAATATGGGAGGAGCTCCAAAAGTTTAAAAATATAAAAATGATAGCAGAAATAAACTGGAAACAGCTCTATGGAAAGCCTGATAAGATAGCAAAACTGTGGAAAGCTACTTTAGAGAAACAGAAAACATATAGGAATAAAGCTGGAAATGAGAAAACCGATATAAGAACGACTAGGAAGGAAATGTTTAAATTATAGATGATTATATACAATTGTATATTAACTAAAAACTTTGATAAGCGATCTTCTGGGAAATTATTTTTAAGTGACTCAATAAGAAGTAGAAAACCTAAAGGGACCAATAAGGAAAGAAGAAAAATCTAGAATAATTACACTCTAAAGGGCTGCAGAGCTGGGTGGTTGGCGGGTGCGTTCTTGCAAGTTCCCAAACAATGCATAATCCCTATGTTATATAAGTGGGGTCAGAACACTGAAAAATTAGAAGACGCTTGATTGAAGTTATAATTTGTCATAACTTTGCTATCAAATCCCTGCAAAGAACCCACAGAAAGAAAACACAGCCTAGAGTCTCACAGAAACAGAGCCCAAGGTCCTGAGCTAAGCTCCACCCCAGACACAGCAGCCACCAGGACCCTGGGTCGCCCAAGGGGTCTAAACAATGAGACCCCCAAGGACAGGCCAAGAGAAGCCAGTGAGGGCACCTCCACCTATGCCAAAACAAGGTCATCAAAATTGAGCACAACGAGCCATTTCTCAAGTTTTTGTTTTTTGAAAATAAGGACTGGAAAGAAAGACTCCTCCCCACCACCCAACCTGCATGTCCCCCACCCCTGGGCAGACAGGGCCGTCACTGCCTACTGCCTACCAAAAGGACAGGGGACAGGCTGCCGGAGCTAGGGTTCTTAGAGTTTGAGAAATAAGACAAGAACAAAAATAACAAGTGTACATGCTGTCAATCTCATTTAAAATGGTCATTTGTAAGTACTGCAGTTGTAGATGTAGAAAACGGGAATGAATTGAAAAACATCCAATTCATTAAGTAAAACAGCTTATGAAGTGGCTGGACGTAGGATGGGTATATTTTCCAGTCAACAGCTTTCCAAATACATCAACTCCCATGACTCCAAAAATGCAATGGAAGAAGAAATCCATAACTGTAAGAAAGAGCATGACGTGCTCCAGGAATAAAGTTAGTGATAAGTGTGGAAGATTTACATGTGAGAAAAAGATGAGTCTTGGGAGGACCCGCGAGCTGGCATAGCTTAGTGCGCTGCAATCAGGGAAGTCATCCTTTGGGTGCACGGAAGAATAAATAAAAATGTGAGAAAAAGAAATAATGGGGGGGAAATTACCCCTGCCTTCTGAGCCAGTGACTACTTTAGGAAAGCATACCCTAAGGAAATAACCCTAAATATAAAAGTCTTTTTTGCTGTGTTGTTTCTCTCAGGATACGAAAGAAGTGTAATTTCAGACATGAAGAGTTCATTAAATTGTAGTTCATCTGATTTTTTAATATCACACAGTCATTTAAAAATATTCTGATAGCAACACAGAAATGACCGTGTCACGATGTTAAAGGGAAAGGAGGCAGAGGATCGTACAGAATATATAGAAACTACTAAAAATCATCTTCACCCTGAACAATGAGAAATTGAGTGAACATCAGAAGGACCCCTGAGAACTGGGGTGGGGGGATTGGGGGGGGTTGAGAGGACCTGCCACCCCCTCTGGTCCCCTTTAAACCCCAGGGAAAGGGCCAGGCAGGGAGCTGTGCACACCCTTCCCCAAAAGCAAGCATGCCTGCTTCACATGGGTGCTGGGAAGGTGCTGGAAGGCAGGCACCTGCTCCTCCATCGCAGAGTCCACAGGCCGCAGCATTCTGGAGAGCATTCGTCAGTGTTTATGTCAACATGTCAACCGCTCACAGCCTTTGACCCAAGGATTTCCAGGGCAGTCACCCCTTCAGTAGGTCATAGAGGCGCATGTCAGGCTGTCAGTGGTCACAGAGCTCTAGAGGGACGCTGCCTGTAGTGGCATCAGGCTGAGAGGCAATGTGAACCCCACACAGAACAGCCTGCTCTCCAGCACTAGGTGCATTTAGATCTACAGAAGAGATCTGTGGGTTATGGTAGTGAGATGGATGGTTGTGGGAAAATCAAAGTGAAAGCAAAAAGACTTCTAGATATACACATCAAAAACTTCAGGGAGAAGGCCAGGCAAACGCCGACAGGCTGCCTTTGCGAGCAGGGCAAGGAGCACGGGTACAGCCGTAAATGTTATGTCCTCTCAGTATTTATCTTGTTGATAAATTTAAAGCACATCCCGTTTTGAAGGCAGAGGCTGAGGGACTGTGGGGCATGTGAGCCCCTGCTATGAGTTTCCCTCTGTGACAAATGCTGCTGCTTGTGCAGAAACTCCTTCTGGTTCTTCAGTCCCCAGGGCCCAGGCTCCTCCTGCAGAAGCTGAGGGTCGGGCCAGGCCTGGACTCAGCTGCCAGAGTCCCAGCCGTGGGGATGGCCCAACCAGAGGTGAAGCCTCTCCCTGAGGATGGTGGGGCCCACGATGACTAGGCCAATGTCCTGTGCTGGGCTCCAAGGCCTCTGTGGAACCTTGGTGGCCTCAGCTGACCAAGGACTAGGGCTCCTCCTAAGGTTGATGTCCAGCAAGATCTGGACTTGCCCAGGGGGAAGGGTGCTGGCTGCAATCCAGGAAACTCAGCTCTTAGACACTAGGAACAGGCTGGCCTGAGTGAAGGTACACTCTCCCAAAGCCCACCTTCCGACCAGGCAGGGCAGGGAGTGAGGGAGGGCCCCAGAGTGCCTGCCCTCTGCTGACAACACTGCTGGCCTGAGCCCCGAGGGTTGGCCCGGCCTGACTCAATTCTCAGGATGAAGAACAAAGAAGCAGCAGAAGGCACATGACAGCAACTGTCACAGGCAGGCGAGGCTTGAGGACAAGTCCTTTTCGTAGCCACCGCACACTAGGTATCCCTAGTGGCCTACAGCAGCATTGACCCTTAGCAGGTTGTCACACCCAGGGCATGGCACTGTGAGGCCAGTCCCTCCTCAGCAAGTGCTGGTGACAAGCATGCACCTTGGCCACTGGTAGGAGCTCAGAACATGGGGCTGTAGCTGGCTCGGTCCTGGGGTCTCAGGGTTTCTCCAGCGGCCCCTTCTGGTGCGTCACTCTCTTCCCCCTCCTCAAGGACCCCATGCTTGTCCAAGCTCCCTCTTTAAGGTTCCCCTTGAGGCTCCAAGGGGTCCAGATGCCAGGAAAGACCCTTGCACCCAAGGGCTTTGGGTCCACAAGCTCCATGCAGCCACCACAGCCTTTCATACATGCTGAGCTTGCTCAGGGGAGGTTGCAGGAGTCAGATGGACTCCAGGAAGTGACCACAATTGATGCAGGGCCCAGCAGTCAGACCCTGGAGCATCCCGCTGGGGGATTGGTGGCAGCTTTGGAAATAGCCAGTGGAAGGGCTCATCCCGTGACAGCAGGTCCACAGGGCAGGGGCGAGGCTGTTCCATCCAGCCTGGCAATCAAGCAGGCTGGGTGTGTCCTCCAGTCCCTGCCAGGCGGTTGAGTGGGCCCATTTCTAAAAGAGCTCGCTTGGTCACAGGACTCTGTCCATGAGCCACATCCGAGCCACTCATGTCCATCAACCACTCCCTAAATCATACTTTCCATGTATGAGAGGTAATTTTTCACAAAAATGTTTAAATCAGAACCAACTACTTTTGCAGCAAATGATCAAAGCCTATTTTTTCTGTAAAAAGTAATAGAATGTTGGAGGGGATACTATGTGCTAAGCGGATTACAGCACCCAACTCATTTCCTCCCAGGGACTTGCACTACCCCGCTAGGTCTTCCCTCTGGGGGGTCGCTTCCCGCCCTGGGTGCTGGGCTCCACCAGGGACTCCTTTGGTTGATGGGGTGCGAGGAGAGGAGATAGAGCAAAGGCTCCAAGCTGGTGTGGTTGGCACACCTGCCCTTGCTGTGAAGCCCAAACCCAGGCGAGTCCGCAGCCTCAGGAGAGGGGATGCAGGCAGCAGAGTGAAGTGCCCGGCCTGGGCCGCCTGACTCAGCAGCCGGGAGGTCCTGAGATCACACGTATCCTGTTTTAAGCCACCGTGGCAGCACTTGTGTGCTTGTCACTGACTGACACACTTACCAGCTCAAGTGGCTAAGCCACCACACCTCGTTTTTCAGGTGTGGACTTACAGGCTCAGAGAGAAGGGCCTCACCTGAGGACACATAGCAGAATGAGCATCTGGGTGGGACCTGAGGGAAGGAAGGGTGGCCGGGACCACCTGCAGGAGCAGCCCCCCACTCCCAGGTCAGCCTGGGGCCTCACCTGCAGTCCCAGGGGAGCAGTCCTCGGGGTAGGCGGGTGCCTTGGGGAAGAGGAGGTCCTGGCTGCCACGGCCACAGCTCTCAGGGCAGCTCTCACTGAGCAGGCGCTTCAGCATCTGGTTCTCCTTGAGGAGCCGCACCTGCTTCTTCAGGTCAGCGTTCTCGCTCATGAGCCTGTTCATCAGCTCGTTCCCCTCAGCCATGGCCATGACTTCTTGCTCACGTGTGGGCCTGTGGCCCCATGGAGATGGAAATCCAGAGCCACGACACCCCAGAAACAGCCCAGACTGGAGTTCCACGACTGCCCCACCTTCCACAGCCTTGTGATGTCACCTTAAAGAGGCAGCGCCCTGCCCATCCCCACCCACAGACTTCCGGGTGGTACCCAGACCAGGTGCAAGGCAGATACCTCATGCCAGGGAGGGATGAGGGAGGTGGGGCCAGGCCAAGTCTAGATGGAATGCCTGAGATGCTCATGCGGAGGCCAGCCCCGCCAAGGGAATACACAGGACCAGGCCCGAGACAGGGTGGTTCTGGTACCTTCTAGGAACAGCCAGAATATTAGGCTAAGGGGATGTTGGGCCATTCACACCTGGGAGTCCGCAGGTCCAGTGGGGGATGCCTTCACTCTGAGTGACTGGTGCAGACAACCTCACAACCACCCCTCACGCTAAGCCTCAGGCCCAGCAGCTTCCCGACTCCAGGTTCACTCAGGCTCTCACAAGCTGGCCGGTCAGCCCAAACCTGGGCAGGTGTCTGGTGCCCCTGGGACACACACTTCAGGAAGGAAGGGGCAGTCAGGACAGAGGGAGCCCAGCTTGGGGCCCTATGATGGCCCCAGCCCCAGAAGCTCCATTGGCTCCAAAGGTCTGGCAGTTGGAGGCCGCCTCCTGACCACAATGCCCTGATGGAAAGGGCCCAGGTGGCACAGTGCTGTCCCCACATAGAGAGTGCTGAGTGTCTGGACACTGACCGTTACTGGACCTAACTGAAGATCCCCCACCAGAGCACAGGGGCCATCTGGACCAATCCCAGGCAGACCTGTGGTTCACGGAGTCCTGCCAAAGCCAGATTCCCTTCTCACAGTGAGCTGGACCTCCATGAAGTCCACCCCAACAGGCCCGCCCCGTGGCACTCTTCCCATAACTGCTCCTCAGGTAACTAAGTTCTGTGCTATTTCCTGGTTCCAAAGGCCTTGGTCCTGCTTTTCCAAAGCCACAAAGCAACAGATGGGTCACCTACTAACCCTCCAGAGAAGGGATGTAGCCTGAAAAGTGAACATGTGTCCACCTCCATCCCTTTAGCTCCAATGCTGGGTCCCCAGTTCAGCATGAAGGCACTCAGGGGGCAAGCAACAAGTGGGGTGTCTCCAGGTAGAACAAGGCCTTTGTTCCCCAGACTGCCCAATGCCTGTCATATTGCTTCAAGGAATGCAAGCCTGAATCAGGCTTTGTAGGAAGGACTTCTAAATTCCAAATGCCCCCTCTACTTCCCCAGAGGGACCAGTGTCTGGACCTATAGGCCGTCACATCAGAGAAACATCTCCTGAGGAAGGGTGTGGGTGCTTCCAGGGCCCACAGCAGATGCCCCTAGACCCCTCTATAGGCTCCTCCCATCACATTCAAATACCATTTATTTCCCAGTCCAAGAAAACCTTCTTGATGCCAAAGCCCCTTCAGCCATGGCATAATAAAATTTCCCAACATATTCGAAATCTGATAACTGAAAATAAAACAATTTGAATTCAAGACTCTTCAAAGATTTACCCAGGACAGAGAACTGGACTTTTAATCAGGTTAGGGCAAATATTTCCCCCTACGTCTGCCAGTGTTCTGGTCCTGATGCACTATCCTTTTAATTCAGCGCTGGATTCAACTCGCTGATGTTTTAAGTATTTTCTATGTTGTGAGAGAAACTGACCAGTGTCTGCTTTTCTTGTAGCATCTTGGTCTGGTTTTGCTGTTGGCATCACACTAACCTTATGAGTTGCAAAGTGTTGGATTCTGCTGTGACCAGGTGCCCTGTGCTGTGGCGCTGTGAGGAATGGCACAACCAGTGATGAGTGCACATTCTCAGCCACAGGGGATCTGTCTTACACCGATCTTCCTCTGCTGCCTCCTAGGGAGTTAGCACTGAGCCTGGAGGCCAACAATAGCAAATTAATAAGACACCTGGCATGTTTCTCATGTGCTAACGTCCCTCCCAACCCATCTGACTCTCCTGCCCTTATTTCCCTTTGCCTTGTGTTTCTAACCTTAATTCCTTTTTGAAACATAGTGAATTATAAGTAAGAATTTATATTGCAGATGGAGATGAAAAATAAATGAAGCTGATCAGTTAACCTATGATTCTTATATAGTTGCTGGGAGATGAGAAGGAGGGAGTGAATACACGGCATTGATTCTTAAAACATTTTTATTGCCTCAATAAAATCGATGTAGCAACAATGATTATGTTCAGTAAGGAAAAGTATTTTCCTAGAGGTAAGTTTCCACTGTGAGTTAAACATTTCCTCAAAGGAAAGGGTATGAAGTTTACATCATGATGAACACAGAAAACCTAATGTGATTCCAGAGAAAGTTTCCCAGCATATTCAAAATCTGATAACTGAAAATAAGACAATCTGAATTCAAGACGATAGAGAAGTGGACTTTTAATCAGGTTAGGGCAAATATTTCCCCTGAAATAACTAGAGACATACCCGCTTATCTTCAAGCAACTACTTCTGTTCCCTGAAACTGAGAAGCTGGCAAGCCATGACAGTCCAGGACAGGGCCCAAGGGCCGCAAGAACCAGCCCCAGGATGGTTCTTTCTGTGTCTTCTGTCTGGACCAAGAGAGGTGACAGCTTCCCCAAACAGCCTGGGGCAGAGAGGCAGGGCCTGCCTCTTCACCATGGCCACACATGCAAAGCCTCTGCCAGAGGCAAGGGCCCTGACAGTTTCTTAAAACAGGTAATGATGAGGGCAGAGGGGCATCCAGATGTCCATCCACTGTCTGAGGGAGGACAGGTGGCCAGGAGAACGCAGCATGGGGCTGCCATCAGAATAAGAGGTAGCACAGAGAAACAGCAGGTGGAGGTGGCATTGGGGAGGGGCCTCTGGGTTAACGCCAGGCCTGGGTTTTATCAAACCTCTTGGTGACTCCTCATAGCTACCCACACAGGGAGGCCGTAAGCATGTGAGTCGCTCATCGTCATAGGCCAGAGGCAAACACAGGTCCCCAATTTTCTATTATGAGCCCCTAGTTCATGCACACTGAACCAGAAAGTTTTAGACTAGCCAGAGGGGAATTATCACCCAAGAAGCATCGCCCAGAAATCTGGCTCCCACTTCAGTTCAAAGCAAACTGGGGCATAAGGGTCATAGCAGCCACAAAAGCACCCTGGACATCACACCTGCCTGGCCAGCTTCAGAAGGTAGTGACGACAAGCTGGGGTGCTCAGCTGTCTCTGGTACACAGCCATGCACCACGGTGGTAACTACTGAGCCACTAATGACCCTTCACCCTTTGTTATGCTTGACCTCCCTTTGCATTTCTGTTATTACAAGATAACTATAAACTCTGGAGGTGAGACGCTGGAACCCCCACAGACTGACTGAACCATGATGCACATGGACGACCGAGATCTGGCAAAGGGTTGGCATATCTGGTCCCTGTCCTGGCCAAGCCCTGGGTGGCCATGGTGAAGAGGCAGGCCCTGTCTCTCTGCCCCAGGCTGTTTGGGGAAGCTGTCACCTCTTTCGGTCCAGATAGAAGACATAGGAAGAGCCATCCTGGGGATGAGCCCAGCACCGGGCAGGAGGCAGATAAGGCACAAATGCTGAGAACTATTATTGGTTAAAAAAGCCCTCCCAGCCCTGCGACCAAGCAAGGACATGCACCACACCCCTAGGTAGGTGCTAGTCCCAGGATTCACTCCAGAAGGGATTGAGGGGCAGGGCTACAGGGGCACCCGTGTCCCAGTAAGATGCCCTAATTTCAATCAGCAGGCCCACTGGACACCTGGGCCTGCCATCCATGGCCAGGCACCCATAGGTCCTACCCTCAAGGGTGGCCAGCGAGAGTACTTTCAGGGTACAGGCGGGAGAAACGGCCAAGGGCCCAGATGGGGAAGACATTCCTGTAGTTTGTGTAGGTGATGGCACAGGTCTTGTTGAAGACCCCGGAGTTGTTTTCCTGAAAGGACACAGGGATTTAAACTCAAAAACTCCACCAAGCAGGCAAGGAGATCCCTGAACCGAGACCCCAGGTGGAGGTCTAGGCGGCTTGTGGGGAGTCAATGAGGCAGAGCCTCAGCAGCAGTCCTCCCACCACATCCCAGCTCTTGGATGCCTCCACCTGCAGCACCCTCCTGCCTGGTCACCAGCCACACAAAGGCATGTTGACCCCAGGCTCATGAAGGGGAGAGGAGTTAGCCACACAAGACCTCACGACCCCATGCCCGCAAGGACCAGTAGTGAGGGGCCCATTAGGAAGAGCCCAAGGGCTTCTTCTGTCCATCACCTCCCAGTGCCTCCTGGCACCACCAGCCCTGTCCCGCAAGCCAGTGCTTAGATCTGCTTTCAACATAGGCCACTGTGGGCAGTATTTCTGAGTCTCAAATCCCCAAAGCTAAACGCCACCCACAAGCACCCCGAGGGACAGAGGGACAGCAGGGGATGTGAAACCGGGGCCAGTGCTGAGCCCCCACAGCATACCTGGGGCCAGTCACCATTGGGGAGCTGTTTTCTAAGCAGACACCTGACTCCTCTCTCTAGGGCCTCTACACCAGGATGCCTGTGGGAAGAAGAGGCAGTGAACATACCATCACCACTCTGTGGAAGAAACAGCCACTGGCTGCAGCCAAAACCTGGCCCTCACCCTCTATAGCCAGGCACAGGACAAAGATGTGAAAAACTTAACCCAACACACAGGAGGTATCAGCACCACTAGGTACAATCGGCACATCTCAGGCCATCACTGCACAAATCCACCTTGAGAAGCAGAGGATGCAGCGTGTGGAGGCGAGCAGTTCAGGTGGGCAGCTCCACGAAAGTGGGCTATGAAGGACCCGCCTGTTCCAGACCCAGGGCTCTGGTCTCTGCCCCAAGGTGCTGCTCTTCTGCACCCCCCAGGAGAGGAGGCGGCCAAGCCTGGTCCCACCCGGCACACTGGTGTTCAGGGCCCTCTGAGAGCCACAGAAACCAAATTTGCTAATCCTTGCAGGTTCAGGACCAAGCTCAGCTGTAGGAGGCAGACTGGGGGCCAGTCTCTGACCGTCCTCAAGGTCCCCACAGACCAGGCCCCTGCTGTTCACACTAGCCTGGCCTAGGTTGTAGAGGGTTTTAAGAAGATTCCCCAAATGGCCCCAAACCAAGAGAGCAGCACAGACTGGGATACTGTGCATATCTATGTGTGTTGTGTGTGTATGCATGTATGCACCTGTGTCTGAATGTCTGCAGGTGTTCACCTCTGAGTGTACACCTGCTGTGCACACACATGGCTGAGCACTACTGTGGAAACAGGTGGGACCACAGAAAGCAGTGGTAGATGCTCCACGCCTCATGCTGTTTCCCTGAGGCCTCTCATGTCCCTTATTGTCACTGTGGGTAGTAAGCCTCTTTGCAGGAACCCACTGATTCAGACGGACCTACAACTCAGCCAGGAACCCTGCAACCTCACCTCCTCCCATCCCTGCATGCATAGCTCAGCCACCCACATCCCAACCAAGTTGCCAGCTTCAGTGTCCTTCCTTCGCCTGCCCCCACCTGACAGCCATCAGCCCCATCAGTGCCCAGCATGTGTTGTGGATCTGGGACTGGGTGTTCTGCACATAACGCCGCTGCTTGCAGGACTCGAAATCCTCCCCCCAGCCTCCGTCCGCCATCTGCTGGGACAGCAGGAAGTCACAGGCCTGGGAGACCTCTGCACAGGCAGCCCTGCAGAGATAGCAGACACAAGATGCCGTCACATAATGGAGGTCCCAGGCCCCTGGGTTCTCACCCTGGCCAGGCCTCCTTGGGCCATGGGGAGGGGGACAGTACTTGAGGCCACCCCACCATGGATAAAGTGAAAAGCTTTGTAGCTGCAGGTGGCCTCATTGCCATGACTACCCCATGAACCCCACTAGCCAAGCGGAACTGGGTGAGGCCACTGGCCACAGCTCGGACTGAGGCCTCTGCATTTGTCTCAACCCAACCAAGTGAGTATCCTGGACTTTAGCCACTGCCACTTTTAAAAAAATGTAAAAACACCCCCAAAATCAAACATCAAAGGAAGATACTCCCCAGCAAAGCATCACACTGAGAAGACCCATCCCACGGGGAGGTTGGGGGAGACCAGGGAAGAGGTAATGACCTTACTCACCCATCATGATAAGTCTGCCCCATGCAGGCAAAAGCTTCCAGCCCAAACCAGGTGCCATAGGTAAAGCAAATCCCCCAGGAGCTGGAGGGAGACAACGGGGAAACAAAGCCTCAGCTACCCAGGCCTTGTTAACAGCAGGTGTGACACGACAGGAACATCCTCCAGCATGGGAGGCTGTGGTTATTTTCAAGAAAAACATCCACATGGCCTTCACCAGCCACACCAGCTTCAGAGCTTTAAGGCCAGTGAGATAGACCTGCCCCCAGCCCTCAGGGGATGGATCTGTCTGCTGGAACCATGAGCAAGATAAGAACTGATCCAAATCCGGGGAAGGACGTGAATAATCAGACCCAACAATGCACAGGCCACTGAGCACATCCAACACACTTGCCAAACACCACCGGGGGAAGGCCAGGCATTCACAAGGGACAAGGTCCGTCAGAAATCTGTTGCTGGCAGCATCCTGCCAGAGTCCTCTGATGCAGCACATGCGCACCATGAGTGCAGTCATGTCCAGGTCCGGCACATCTCACTTACCCTTCCCAGGAGCCATCAGCCCTCTGCTTCTGCCTACAGAACTCAAGGCCCTGCTCGAGGACCTCCCTGCAACACAAGAGGACAGTCCAGTGAACATTCCAGCAAAACATCAATTTACTCAATTCTGTCTCAAAAAAATAAACAGGGTCTCCCTTTAAAAAACATGTAAAAATAAACCAACAGTTCAGAGAGGAGATACAAGGTCAAAGCAGAAGCAACTATAGGACACAGGAGGGAATTAAAGAAATGAAAGAGGAAAGCAAACAGTGAGGGAGGAACCAATGTTAGAAGCAGCTACAACAGGATCAATATCACTGAAAACAGTGTCAGTGACACAGGCTGGAGTAAATCACACAAGATGACATTTTAAAAAGAAATAAAAAGTCAGAGAGAAAACAAAAGATTTAGAGGACAGAGAAGCTCCATCACAAGTCTAACTGGTACCTCTGAAGAAAGCCCAGTTTTCTGAAAAGGCCAGAGAGGAGGTACAAGTACAGTCTGAGGTGCTGTGACCTTAATTTAGACAACACATTTGAAATTTCGACAAAATGTACAAATTACTAGGAATAGTAACTTATCAAAATGGCCTCAAAAAGAAATAGAGATCCTGAATAGTCCTATAACTACTAAAGACATGAGTTTAAAATGTAAACTTTTCCCAGAAAGAGAACTCCAGGCCTAGAAGTTTTGTAAGTGAATTCTACTAAACTATCACAAACATTCTAATCTCACACAAACTCTTCTAGGAACTAGGAAGAGAAAGGAACACTCCCTAATTCATTGTAGGGACCCAGCATAAGCCTTTCAAAGCCAGACAGGGAAGGAAAAGCACGTGCCCCTGTGGCTATGAAGGGCTCAATGGATATGGATGCAAGATTCTATACTAAATACTAGGAAACTGAATATGGTAGAGATATACTAAGTCAGATTCGTTCCAGAAATGCAAAGGTGTTTTAATATTAGAAAAGTCTACAATCATCATCCATGACATTAAAAGACAAAGGGGAACCCGGCTGGCATGGCTCAGTGGTTGAGTATCGACCTATGATCCAGGAGATCGCAGTTCGATTCCAGGTCAGGACACATGCCCTGGCTGCATACTTGATCCCGGATGGGGGTGTGCAGGAGGCAGCCGATCGATGATGACACTCTTTCATCATTGATGTTTCTCTCTCTCTCTACCCCCTCCCTTCCTCTCTCTGAAATCAATAAAAACATATTAAAAAAAAAAAAGATAAAGGAGATAAATACATAATCATCTCATAGACCCTGAAAAATCATTTGCTAAACACAATACCTGCTCACAATGGAGGGAAGAAACAACTTAGCAAATTAGAAAAAAGAACTTTGTTACCCAGAAAAGGGGCTAACTACCAAAAAATTACCCTAAATATCATTCTTAACAGAAAAATATTACAAGCATTCCCCTTTAGAAAGTCAGGAAATATGACAAAGATGCCACTATTACTACTTTCCTCAAAGAAAACTCCAGGCCCAGATGGAATCTCCAAACACATAAGGCCAAAATAGCACAAATCTCACAAACTCTTCCCAAGAACATAAAAAGAGAATATACTATCCAACTCATGAGTCCAGCATCTCTTCACAGGAGACCGAGAGATATTATAATAAGGAAAATTACAGACCAGTTTCCCTTATAACCACAGTTGTAAAAATCCTAAATAATACACCTCTCAATTTTAATCCAACTCTATAAAATGGAAAACACATAAGGACAAAGCTGAGCTTCTACCAGGTTCACCATGAAACACGAGACAAGGGAATCATCCCACTAAGGAAACTATGAAACCAGCAGCATGTACCCTATGACACAGCATATCAACCCTGAACATCCTTTGTGCCCAAAAGATAAGCACATGTGTTCACAGCAGGATGATTCATAACTACGAACTGCCCCCAAAGAACCATGACAAACACGTGGACATGCAGTGCAGCACCTGCACTCAGCAGAGGCACCACAAGCCAAGAACAGTGTGAACCTCTGCTCTGTAGGCCCAGTCTCCTGTGCACGAGGCTGAGTGAAGAAAGAGGCCCAGGAGTCCCCACCTTGGGTCCTCAAGTGCAATAACCCAGCAGCCGCAGGACCAGGAGAGGAGGGAACTTCTGTCCACTTCACAACAGTTACTCAGGCACCACACAGAGGGTCTGCGCACTGCTCTGCATATGTTAGACTTCAATGGGACAGATTAAAAAGCTACTTCTGTACATGGATGGAGCTGGGGGTATGGGTCTTTAACATTAAGAAGATGTGGAAAATAACTCGCTTCTGTGTTATAACTGTGCTGCTTGCAGCCCTCAGTACATGTATCTGATGTACTTCAGGGCACACAACCAGGTTCAGAAACATCATAAGCCCCTCCCATATCTGAATGAGCTTCACTTCAGGGCCCCTTTATGCCATGGGCCGTAGTTACAGCACAACAGCTCTCAATATCAGGTTTGCAGCAGCTGAGCTCTTGACCCAGTTGGTGGCACTCATGGCTCAGTGGTTAGGCTGCCTTTACCTGATTTCCCCCGGCCTATGCTCTGGAAACTGCTTGTGGAAATGCTTCAGTGCCTGCATCACGGCCGAGGTGCACTCCACATACGTGTAGTCAATCATAATGTCCCCTGTGAAAGTGAAGGATTGAGGTCTGTGAGTTTCACCTCGACAATTCAGGCGAAATCACAAAGCACACACAGCACCGTAACGTGCAGGGCCTGCACAGCCTATCAAGAGCCTGACTGTCCCCTGGTGGAAACAAAGGTGTCACCAGTGGCCAGCCTGGGAGACGCAGCCACCAGGTGGCAGGTGACTCCTACATAGGTGACCTGGTGACCAAGTGACCTGGAGGCCCATCTGCTGTGGAACAACCAAGCCAGTGGAAGGGTGAAGGAGTGGGCACAGAAAAGAGCTGCAATCCACCCTGAACACCCCCCACTAGACCATGTTTCACAGTTATAGGAGGGGTACAGGGGCATGCAAAGGCAGACCAGGGTAAAGAACTGGCCCTCACACACCAGAACTATGACATGCAGCACAAGGACACAGGGAGAGAGGATCTCCACCGACATCTCCACTGCAAGGAGTGCTCAGGAAACAGGGCAGTCTCCATGGAGGACAGAGCAGGAGTTGGCCCAGCTCGGGCGAGAGCCATATGTGACCCCCAAGACAGAAACACGCAGCTTTCTATAGGTCAAGGTGCATGGAACACTCCAGTGCTTGGGGAGCTCCTTAAAGGATCCACCATCAACCTCCAGAGCCTCTGTGGGCACTGACCCTGGCCAGGGGAAAGACCTCAGGGCTCTGGTCAGCAAATCTGCACTGGGGCAGGCAGGGTCCGGGTTGTACCCACATGTTGGCAGGCCAGCCACTCACCAAAGATTTCTGAGGGGTTGAGCAGCTCCAGCAGGTACCCGCCACGCTTGGTCTCATAGGTGGCAAACCCCCCATCAGTGTTTCTCATGTTCAGCAACTAAAACCAGAGACCACACATCCTGAGAGCTGAGCATGTGTGAGTACACAAGGCTGGGTGGGCTTTCTGGAAGCACCCAGGGCTAAGCACTGATGGGCAGGGGTGAATAGCAGGGAGTTAGACCAAGACTCTCAGATGCCCTGACAGTGGGCTGCAACCTTTATCGATCAGCTATATGGTAAGTAACTGTCTGGGAACACACCCCTATATACGCATACATTTATAAGTCACATATGTGCTTTTGAATCATATAACCTCTGCTATAAGACATGCACTGAAGTGGATTTGCTGAAAGGCTTGTCCTCTTTTATCAGACACCCAGTGGAGCCTGACAGGTCTCCCGAAGGAGGCACCTGGGAGCAAACAGGTCTGTGAGCCTCCAGAACCGGAGAGAGAATGGGGTTGCAGCAGCTGCCACAGACTGGCCCCACCCTGCCCTCAGTAGCTGGGCCCAGGACACTGGTTTATACACCCATGGGGGAAACACAGGGTTCTGCACACACCCAGCCAGGACCTCCTGCTGGCCCACCCTGATCACTCCCCACTGGATGTTCTGATGACAGGTGTCATCAGAAGACATGCCCCTCTACTTTCCGTCTTGGTCCTGAGTACTGGCTGATAGAGATCCCATGGGAAGTATACGTGAGTGCACAGCTGCTCCACAACTATAACCGGACCCAAGGGACCCCTGTGTGCACGTGGCCCCAATAAACGGGAGACAGGGACCCATGCCCAGCAGCCTCACCACAGCAACAGCATCAAAGAGCTGCTCTTGCAGGACGTGCGTGGTAACAAAAAGACACTTTTCCTGCACGAGAAGGATAGACTTCAAGGCCTCAGCTGTGCAGTCAGAGACAATCCAGCCACAATCCAGAGTACTGAAGGAGAAGCCGCCCTGGAAAGCACAAAGATTGTGACTGGGGGTGGTGGAAGGCTGAGCCCACACCCTGTCTTTGTGATCACGCAAAGCCACTGTGCCCTCCACACCCATGCGGAGCCACAGCCCCAAGCTGAACACATATGTACGGGCCTCCAGCTTCCAGCACAAGAACCCCTCGGGAGTGTAGCCTCTCCCACCATCACCCTCAAACCCCACCACACAATGAGCACAAAAATGGCCACAGGCAGCCTCCTGAACCTTGTGGGGACACAGCCACAGCTGTGTCCACAATCACAGACACTGAAGAAACTACCCCTTGTGCCCTCTGTCCACCCCTCATCACTCTAATTCATAACCCAACAGCTTATTTCACATCTGCACATGTGTCTGTCTGGAAGCATCTTGGTACACAGATGTGCACATAGCATTTGAAGAGGCCCACACAGCTCAGCTGCCTCAGCCATGCATGCCTCAGTCAGGGTATCTCAGGAGCATCACTGGAACCCACACATGCATCCACAGAGTAAGAAGCCCCAGGACACTGAGAGAGGAGCCCTCTTCAAAGGCCTGGCCCGGCTAACAGGGAGCCTCTCCCAGGGCTTAGGGTGGCAGTCACAACCCAGGTACCTTGCACATCTGGCGATAGTACTTCTGGTAGTCAGGTGGGTTGTCTGGGACCTGGGCAGCGTCCGAAGAGAACACGTGGAAAGCAGAGGAGGGAGAATGTCACTGCCACACCAGACACCAGGGCAGGCTCAGCACAGCAGGATATGGCGAGACCCAGTGCTGCGGCCTCAGTCATCAGTGCCAGGAGCCCCTGGAGGTGTCACCCCCATGGACCACCACCCATAGCCCCTCCCACCGCTGGGAAACACAATCAGGCACCCCTGGAGCTGGAGAGGGCAGAGTAGGAGGGGAAACCTCTGCCCCTAACAGCACCCAGGGTTCACCTGTGAGATCCTGAGGAACTCATGCGCCTTCTGCAGGCAGGACGAAAACTCAGGCCTGTGGTGTGCACCCGCCTGGAAGAGACAAGAGGCTGAACCACTGGGCACAGGAGCCTATGTGGGTGGGCTGGTTTCAGGAGGATCCTGGTGATGTCTTTCTACCCCAGGAAACCAGGAACAAACCCACCTGGGTCTTGGATGTCTACTGACAAATCACGAAGATATGGAGAAATGGAGTAGTCAGGAGGGACGACCACACCATACCCACTGCCCCCATACCCCACTCACAGGATCTTGACCCGTCCAAGGCAAGCCCTACGTAGCCCAAGCACCACAAAGCCCAGACCCCTCCCCAGGGCTCCTCAGGACTCTACCACCTCATTCTACCAGAATAAAAACACACTCCCCTTTCTCTCTAGTACCTGCTCAGTGCTCTTTTCAGAGTGCCCAAGAGAAGCAGTTTGAGTTTTACAAGAGCCTGAAACAATCCCCACTGCCATATCTCTTGGGACAGCCTCTCCAGCCTCCCTGGTCCAGAAGCCTCCAAGCAAGCCCACCACCCAGAGCTGCTGGGCAAAACCGAGCTTCAGCAGGACCATTACCAGAGGCCTCAGAGCCCAGGAAAGCAATGAGTCAGGGTCAACAGGTGTTGTGTTCAAGTTGGGCATAGGGGATGGGCACAGGAAGATCAGCTGGAGGCTGAGGAATAAGGAGACACAGCCACGTACCTCTAGCAAAGCCTGGATGGTGAATGAGGTGTCCCAGATCTGAGAGCCATTGGTGCCCTGCGCACAAAGGATGAACCATTGCAGGAGCCAATGCGGTATCCTCTCATCAGCCACTGCCTCTCAGAATCGAACAGTGTCTGGAGACTACTACCAGCTCCCACAAAGAGGTGGAACCCAGCATCTCCTGATCCCTGGCTCTGGGTTCTGTGTACCCTTCAAAGCCCATGATTGCTTCAGGGAACCAGCCCACCAGCCAGGATAGGACTGCATCAGGGTACTTCAGGATCTGGAAAGCCACCACTGTGGCCTCCACTGTCTGTGGCCTCTACCCACCCAATGAGCCTCTGACTATACTCATGGTGATGACCAGAAACATCTTACACTTCTAAGGTAGGTAGCACCTGGCCGTGGTCTCAAAGGGGCTCGGAAGGCCCCCCTGAAATCCCATCCTGAAAGCCTGGTTTACTGATCAGCACTCCGGTCTCCCTAGAACACCACTGACCAAAGCCCAGTGAGAGAGAGCAGGACTGTGACAGACATGCAGATAACAGGAATGGGAGTGGAAACACCTGAGCCCAGACCAATTGGCGGCACTAACAGGGCAACAGGTACCAGGGCCCAGTAGGATGTGTGTGGGAAGAACTTGCACCAGGAAAGCCGCCTGGCCAAAAGAAACCTGAATGACATCAACTCTCAGGGTCTAACTGCCAGTTTGCTGAAAATACAGGGCCCAAAGGAAGAACCTGGTTAGATCTAGAAGGTGGGCCCTTTAGAGGCAAGTCGCCTGGAAAGAAGGCACTTAGGAGATGGCTAGCAAAGCAACTACAAGGATCAGCCACTGGGCTTTAATCCTGATGCCTACAAGCCCAGCACAAACCATACTGGGGCTTCACTGACCCCGTTGTGGCAGCAACATAGAGGTTTCCTAAAGACAAAGAAGCCCTTGAGCACTGGGGCGCTGAAAGGGCCAGAGGGGGCTTGCCACCCTCCCCCCCTTGGCATATTTTGAAAATCCTTTTACAAGAGATTGGCAGTGTGGGAGTCAGGAGCTGGGAGAGGGGCTCAGGGTATGCCTGGAGAGAGCACAGAGGTGAGCTCTGCCCTGGGGGTGGGGTAGGGTGGGTCCCGTGCCCATCCTAAATGCCCAGTAGCCTGTGCTCCCCAAAAACCCTGCTGGAACCTCTGAGTTCCCACGCTGAGCCGGGCAGGTATAGCAGACAAAACCCCTCAGGGTGGCGCAGTGTTTCCAGGGCCCCTATAGCCAGAGGTCAGCCCAGGAAGCCCTGCAATGTGGTATCCCACCCCAGGATCACAAACAGAAAATATGACTGTTGCAAGATGACCTACAACATCCAAACAGCACAGCCCAGTGGGACACATGCAAAGAAGGGCCCATGGGGGTTCATCTCAGGACTGGGGGAAGAGGCAACAAACCCTTAGAGGTGGGAGCAGCTCAGCAGGTGCTAGGCTGGGGGTATGGAGGGCAGGACTCTCCTCCTACCTAAGGCCTGAATTTCATTAGTCAGTTTAGTGTGTGGGTTCTGAAGTCAGTTTCCTCCTGACCTGCAATCTGAACTACTCTGTCTCACAGATGGCCCCTACACAGTGGCTGCAGACCCTCTATGCTCCCACAACCCTGGGGGGCTCTGACTCAGGGGACTCTGATCCTCAGCATTCCCACAACTCTGAGGGAATCTGACCCTCAGCGCTCCCAATCCCTAGGGTTCTAGGCTACCCTGCAGACTGCCCAGCCCAGAAGGCGCTCCATGTCCTCTCAGAGACAGGATGGAGGGCCTGCCGCCGCTCACCACACACCAGGCCTTGTGAAGAGTGATTTTTGAATCTCAACACGCAGGCAGGAATGTTTGCAAAGGAAGCTGACAGCCAACCCTGCAGCCCTTACCTGCATCTTCATGCCATCAAGGCCCAGCCTGTGAGGAGAAAAGCCAGGTCAGAGAGCAGAAGACAAAGAGCTGCAAGTCAGGCAGCGCCCAGAGCCCCCACTGTGCAAGAGACTTGAGGACAGCTCCCCCTCTCCTCAGCCTTGTGAACAGGCAGCAGAAGACCCCTTCATGGTATAATCCATAACTGACCAGCTCTCCTTGTCACCAAACCTTTCTGACATTCACCCAAAACTGCCCTGTCCAGGCTTCCTGGTTCTGCCTTCTGGAAGCATCTAGAGTTTATGCTATGGGATAGACCTTTCCACTCAAACAGGACCCTCTCCAGCTTCCATCAACCCTGAAACTATTGGTTCCAATGTTACACCAGGAGCCACAGCACCCTGGCTAGGACATGAAGATGGAAATGCGGTCACATGCCTGTTGCTGCGGCAGCGGGGCCCAACATCTGCACTGGGCTCTCAGCCACGTCACTAGAGACTAAGGGTGACACCAACCAACAAGGCTCTCCTCGCCACACTCACCAGAGGTAGTCAGGAATCCTGGAGACATGCTCCTGGAAAATGCTGGAGGCAGGTCCGTCCACATGCCAGCGCACAAGCATGTTGATGACTTTTGAGACCTGCAGGAGACAGGCCTGTCAGGGCTCTGCTCCAGGATGTAGCCCCCCTGGCCAAGCCAGGCCTTCTGCTCTAACCCACGTCTCCCAAGCACACATTTCTTCTAGGCCCTGAGAGACAGAGCCCCAGTGGTGCCCAGAAAACCAGGTCTCCGAGGGAAGCAGGAAGGGGCCAAAGCTGTACACAGAGGAGGGAGGGAGACCTGTAAGACGTGTGAGGCCAGCCAGCTGGTGGTGAGTAGTACCACCATGCTGGTGCCAGGGCAGTCTGGTGGGGTCTGAGTAGCAAGGGGGAGATGCAGAGACCAGACCCACAGGTCTGCCTGTGGGAGCAGACAGGGGCTGCCCGCTCAGTGTGGCATATTCTAGAGGGTCAGATCTTTCACTCTGGGATCTCCTAAGTAAAGATCCAACTAAAGCTACATCTAACATGTCAGACGTGCTCTACACAGCATTAAGTCAAAGCCCAAGAGTCACACTGTTGCTAAAAGGAACACAACTGGCTGTGCTGTGGGGCATCATCATTTTCTATCCACTGGGGTCCCATGAGGCCAAGAAAATGCCTGGGAGCAGGGTTGGGAGTGGGGCTGGGTAACACTGCACCAACTGGGAGTATGCTGAGAAGCCAAGGACATGGCCCACCACAGGCTTGAAAGCATTCTCCCTCCTGCACCTGTCATCCATGGCCATAAGCTGGCCTCCCCTACCCTCTACTGGCCAATGTGCGCCTGGTCATACAATCCAACAGGTGTGTCCACACCTGGACCTACCAAGCAAAGCCAGGTCAAAGCCCAGAAGCTTAGAGCAGTGAGAGTTCCATGTCACAGGGCTCAGCAGGATCCATAAATGGAACCCATGCACCACTGCTGCTCTAAACCCCATTAGAGAAGGGCAGATAGGCGTTACCAGGGGTGAGGCTGGCCAGAAAGATCCTGAAAGGTGACCTCAAAGAGCAGTGTTCAGACAGGAGGTGGGGATAGGAGGAGGGCCAAGCACACAGATGGGTCTGTGGGAGCAGAGGGCTGCCTGCATGGAAACCCTTACTCCCAATTCCACAGACTGGTCTCTGGGCCTTCCACCCTGGGTCCTCACCCACCTCAGAGCTGCACTCAGGTGCCTATACAATGCCAACACCCAGCAGACAGGTGGCACTCACTGGGCCAATGCTGATACACTTGGTGAAGCGGTCATCGGCCACAATGTGCTCATACAGCTTGTGGATAGTCCGCTGCCTCAGGCTGGTGCTGTGGTGGCGTTCATATAGGTTGAGGATTGCTGCAGGGGAAAGGGCATCAGTAAGCACAGGGCACAGGGGAGCTCCTGGCCTCAGCCCAGCCAGGCATAGGGCGGCATCTGGGCCCTTCCAACCTTCCCTGCTCTGCCTTCCTTTCCTACTGGCACCCCATGCCTTCACACCCCACACCTTGCCTGCCCCCACACACCCTGGCATGCTGCCATGCTGTGTTAGGAGGGCTCCATGAGTGGAAATCCAGCTGTTTCTCAGCATTGACGGGACAGGGACCCACCTAGCATCCAGGGCCTGGCACACAGGGAACATGCCCGTTTCCCTACACAGCATTCAGTGCCAGCCTCTGGGGGTGGGGGAGGAGGTCCCACAGAGAGGAGAATCTGGCCTGGGCCTGGTGGGGAACTACTGTTCTCTCCCCTAGGGAAGGAATGATTGAGCCCTCCAAGGACCTCAGCTCCAAGTTCTCCCATCTAGGAGCCCAAGCCCCAGGATCTCTCCAAGGGTAAGGCCAGGGCATGTCTGCTGGAGACGAGGAGCACATAGTCAGCCCGTCACCACATGACCCAAACAACAGGAGAGAACAAACTCATTGTCACCTCAGGTGTCAGCTGACCCAAGGAGGCCTAGCCAGCCCTGGGGAAGCACCCACCATACACCACACGAAGCAGCCAGCTGTGGGGCATGTACAGGTCATCAGGGGCCACATTATTCCTCTGCGCTGGCCAGTTGATGCTGGCATAGTCCTCCACGTAGAGCTCCTAGGGAAGATAGCACCTCAGTACTGGGCTGCCTGTAGTTCTCCTTCCTCTGCCCCCTAGAGCTCATTCTGATAGATAGTCTACATCCCAACCCAACCTCAGGGCCTGCTTCCCAGGGACAGGTGTCTGTGCCCCATCCCATAGCAAGAGCCCCTCTGGGCAGTTCCTAAGGGGACAGGAGAGGGAGGCCTCACCCTAACCTCAGGGGGGTCATCTCTACAGGGTCATGGGAGTGGGCGTGCACAGTCAGCAGGACTTGAAGATGACCCAGGCCCAGGTCCTCACCTGGCGCAAGCTCTGGACCAGCGGGTCCTCCTCCTTGGCTTTCAGCCGGGTGGCATAGCAGTAGCTCATGGGCAAGTAGACCTGACGGCAGTGACACCAGAGTGTGGAGGGGTGTGCAGGTACCCAGTCAGGAAACAGCCTGGGAGGACAGTGCATCAGCAACAGCCTGGGTCCCACCATCACCACTACAGCCCCAGGCCTCCCAAGCATGGACTCAGGATGGACAGATGTCCAAGACTAAGTCAGCAAGCCCAGCACTCGCACAGCTAGGCTCCATGGGGAACAGTCAAACTCCCTGGGTGCCCCAGGGCACAGGCTACTCCTGGTTCAGCCAAATGCATCCTAAAGCCAGGAGACTCAGGTCCTAATGTTCAGGACTGTCTGGTTTCTCAGTTGTGACAGACAAACCATAGTAACATGGAACGTTAACAGTGAGAAACAGGTGAGGGGTGTGTGAGACGGCTCTGGAATACCTTTGCAACTTTTCTGGAAATTGAAAACTATTCCAAAATCAAAAGTTTATTTAAAACGGTTAGGCCTGAGACTTTGATCATGACCTCCACCCATGTGTCTTCTGACATTAGCACAGCCAGGCCCCCTGCCTGGGTGGGTGAGCACGTAGGATATTTCCTCCACCCTCCTCCCCTTCAAACCTCTGTCCTCATATGCAGAGCACAGGGAGATAAAGATCTAGTGTACTCTTCATGCCCCCCAGCCTGGGGCCAGTTCCCTCACTCTCTTGAGAGCTCCTCCACCTACTTTAAGGGCATTTTTTTTACATTTGGGGTTCAGGTCCTCCATCTTGCATACCTGTCCTTTACTCTCTAAACCACACCCCCTCCAAAAACTCTAGCAAAAGTCAGCAGCGACTGCTGGGGCCCCACCTGTGAGAGGCACAGGCAGCACAGTTTCCCAACAGCAGTCTTGGATACCCACGCCCTCCAGGTGCCTGCTCTGCACACTTCGTCCCCTACTCCTGACACACCAGTGAGGTTCACGGTCCAGCTGGCAAACCTGCCAGGGGAGAATTCTGTAATGGCCCCAGGACACCTCTCTGCCTCTTCCAAGTTGCCAACCTTAGGTAACTGTGCTCCTCTCCTCCTCCACTTTGCCTTGCTGTCCCTCTGCCACCTTACCCCGCCTCATGGCTGCGGAGGCTGGGCCCTCTGCCCTTTCATCGGGACCTTGCTGTCATTTACCCAGTGACCCCTTCACCACTTGCTCTTCCTCCACCAAAGTCATCTAACACAAGGGCCACCCCTCCAACCTCCCTGATGCTCCCTGGGGGACCCCAACCCTGCTGACAGTGCTCCAGAAGGCAGGCAGGGTTCCATGGGTCTCACCTTCTACAAGGCATAGTGGCCTATTTATATGCCTATGAATGTTTTCTGGGGAGATGTCACAGCTTTCATTAGACATTCACAAAATGTTACAAGACACTGGTTGTGTCAGACAATAAGGAACTAGTGTTGATTTTACTGAGTATGTATACAGTATTGTGGTTCTTTCTGTTCAAAAGTAAATTCTTATTTTTTAAAGACACACACTGGCCCAGCCGGGCGTGACTCAGAGGTTGAGCATCGACCTAGGATCCAGGCGATCCAGGGTTCAATTCCTGGTCAGGGCACATGCCCAGGTTGCGGGCTCAATCCCCAGTCGGGGGGCGTGCAGGAGGCAGCCGATCAATGATTCTCTCATCATTGATGTTTCTATCTCTCTCTCCCTCTCCCTTCCTCTCTCTGAAATCAATAAAGATATATTTTTTTTAAAAAAAGACATACACTGAAGTGTTCGTGGGTAAAGTCTGATGCCTGGGATTAACTTTAACATTTACCATCACCTTGCCCGGTGTGGCTGTTAGTTGGAGTGTCATCCTGTACACTGAAAGGTTGTGGGTTTGATACCCCAACGGGGACTATACGGGAGGCAACCAATCCATGCTTCTCTCTCACATTGATGTTTCTCTCTCTCTCTCTCTCCCTTCCTTCCTCTATAAAATCAATAGACAGATCCTTGGGTGAGGATTAAAAATAAGTTTTTCAGAAAAAAACATTTACCATCAGAAAAAAACAAGGGGCACTAGCCAGTTTGGCTCAGTGATTAGAGAGTAGGCTTGTGGGCTGAAGGGTCACTGGTTCGATTCTGATCAAGGGCAGGTACCTCAGTTGCAGCCTCAATCCCAAGCCCTGGTCAGGGCGCATGAGGGAGGCAACAAATTGACATCTCTCACATCAATGCTTCTCTCTCTGTCTCTCTCCCTCCATTCCACTCTCTCTAAAAAACACCATAGAGAAAATATCCTTGGTAAGGAGTAACAAAACAAAACCACCAAAAAAGAAAGGACTGGTGTTAAAAGAAAAAGAAAAAAGACAAAGGGGACAGACAAAACAGCACAGCATACCCCAGTGCTTGGGCTGGTGAGGGGCCTGGGCTTTCACCTTCTGCATTTCTGCAGATGCTCACAGCCTCCATAATAACAAGATGCAATCACGCTTGTCCAGGCAGCAAAGCCAGAGCTTCCCCCTTCTACACCAGGGGCTCTGTAACAGCCCTGCAGGGTGACCCACCTGCCGCATGGCCCAACCTAGGGCACCTCCTTCCCTCTTTCTATCTGTCTGCAACAAGGGACCCAGGGCCCTGTCATTCCACTCAGTAGGGCAACAGGTACCAAGCTGCCACATCCACAAAGAGGTAAGCATACCACATCTCTGGGAACAGGGTGTTGAGGCCTTCCCAGCTGTAAACATTCAGGACAGCCAGCCAGAATTTCCCCCAGGACGGGATGGCCACTGCTCCACCTGGGGAGAGAACAGGCCCACGTCATTTCCCTCTGACTGGAACCCCAAGAGTCACACGTGCCCTTCTTGCATGAACTGAAGGCAGGAGCCTCCAAACTCCATAAGAAGGTTCCAGAGCTGCTCAGGACTACCCACCACCACAGCCATGGGTTCAGAGCAGCAGCTTCCCCAAAATGGGTATGTCCAGCCCCAGGAGAGGCATTCACAATACTACCTTCAGGAAGGTAGGGGTCCAGCTACCTGGGTGAGGGGCCAAAATGCACACCGCAGCCTATATCACATAGGCCTGGAGGTAATAAGGGGCAGTGAGTGCACATGCTCAGCTTCTTTCTCTTCTTAGGGACACTTATAGCTGCCCCTGACATGCGTGTCCCCACTGGATAGGCAGGTTGGAACTCCAACCTGGCTGTCAATGACATCCTGGCCCAAAATGGAGCCACCCCAGCAGCATGGGTTCCATTTATACAAACACTATCCTGGCTGTGCTTCACAAGGAGGCCAAGCCCAGACCCACGGGTTGAGGAGTCAAACACCCAGGAAGCCACCAGGGAAGCAAGTGTGACCCAAACACATTCCCTCCATAGGCAAGGAACCCAAAAGCAGCTGATGAGACCAGAGGCTAATGAGGAACTCACTGCCAAGAGTGACATGTGAAAAGAGTGAGGAATTTCATTAGAATGCACACAGGAGGCTTATTAATCTGGCTGGGCAGTTCAGGAAGGGGCCCCAGAGTAGAGCCATGTAAGATGCCAGGTGAAGGATGAGGAGGAGCTCCCACAGCAGTGGGTGGGGTGGAAGGCAGGATCCCAGGTAGAGGAAGCAGCATGTAGAGCCCTGAGGCACAAAGGGACTTCAAGGAGTTGGCAGGAGCCCCTGTGTGTGAGCACCAGAGCAAGAGGGCAAGTGGATGGAGGAATGGCCACGAGAGACAGGCAGTGAGACCTGCCAGGCTCTGGAGAGCAACAAGCAAGCTCTCAAAATCAGTGGGAGCCATGGAGCCTCCCCAGGGCTATAATTAAGCCTTCAGAGTACACAGGCACGGGAGAGATGCTACCTGCTAGAAGCCCCATCCAGCAAACAGGAGGGTATATGGTTATCTTAATTTGCTTTTTAAAAAACTACTGGAGCCGGCGTGGCTCAGTAGTTGAGCATCGACCTATGACCTAGTAAGTCATGGTTTGATTCCCGGTCAGGGCACATGCCAGGGTTTCGGGCTTGATCCCCAGTAGGGGGTGTGCAGGAGGCAGCCCATCAATGACTCTTTCTCATCATTGATGTTTCTATCTCTCTCCTCCTCTCCCTTCTTCTCTGAAGTCAATAGAAACATATTAAACACACACACACACACACACATATATATATATACACGTATTACTGGTAAGGTTAGATGGTCTCCACTTTTCTGCTTTGATGAATTCCCTGTTCATGTGTTTCACCCAGTGTTTCAGGTGAAAGTACATCTTTCTATTTCTCATGTGCAAGAAATCACTAAGCAGAGGTAACATGGACCCTTTATTTAGAGTGTGCTGTACAGAGCATACCTTTCTTGTGAAGAATGCTCCGTGCTCGCACCAGGTCAGGATCATCAGGCCCAACACCCAGGATTCTTAGGGACACATAGTTGAGCACAGTCCCAAACACTGTGGACTTGTCCTCGTTGTGCCTGCAGAAGCAGGAAACATGGTGGCAAAATGACATATTTTATGACTTCTAAGAAATTAAGCAGTGCTTTTAGTTAAATTTCCTCAGGAAATCAGGAGTGCTAAAACATCCTACACTGACAACATGGCAACACAAGAAACACCCAGAACAGCCACCTCCCATGAAAACCAAAACTGGTCCTGCAAAACCTGTCTGCCTCCTCTGCTTAATCCGCACACCTCAAGCAATATGACCCAACTACGGCTCAATCATCACTATGGTAATAGAATACACTACAAGGTAACATGTAAGGACATGCTATTGCCCTGTGCTGTCATAAGACACTGGAGAGATCTCAGCATCTGTCATGACATGCTGGAGCCCACAGGCCAGAACTGAGGCCCACGACCCTGTTGAGGAGGCGAGCGGAGGCTGAGCTGTCCCCCAAGGGTTCTGTAATGGAAACCGTTGGTGTAGATTTGGCCCACCAGAGCCCACGACCAGGGTGGGCAGGCAGTTGACCACCTTGGGGGAGGGTCCTGATACCAGAGCAAGCCCTGCTACAGAAAGGCAGGCTGAGACTAGGGAGAGCTGACCAGCCCCTGCTGCACCTGTTGCTACCCCAAAGTCAGACAATTTCCTTCTGTCTTAGTGAAAACAGCCAGATGGTTTTCATTGTGGGTGAGGGTCTCGAGTCTCTAAGCCAGTCATGAAACGAGTTTATAATACAAGCTGTGACACTGAACACTCCCCCACCCACCCCAGATCCACAGTTACAGTCACCCCACCCCTCGACAGATACATGTCCTACACAAGAACATCTGTGCACATGCATGCACACATGGGCAGTGACAGGGCTGGGCAGACTCACAGGCCCCAGCCACCGTCAGGGAGCTGCAGCGACCGCAGGTACCGCACGATCTCTTCTCTGTATCCAGCTGGCAGAGGGATGTGTGCTATGTGGAACGTGATCAGGAGGCCTATGTGGCAGAAAAGGTGTCAGTCACTGGGAGCAGCCACTCAGCACTGTTAAGCCTGGTCCCTTTCCTCTTGAGGAACCCTCCTGATAGGGAGCTATTCCCAAGGTTCTCCTTCCCACAGAAACAAGCCTAGGAAGGCTGCTCTTCCTGGCACCATCAGGGACTCTGGGAACAGGCCACAGACGCAGCAGCAACAGCATGTGTGACACTTCCCACACAGGGTATGTGGAGCTCATCCAGTGACTCCAGGATCCCACAATGTTGTCACGCCTGCTGGGGCACCCTTCAATGGGCTAACGCTTGCTTACATGTTTCTGTTTTAAAAGTTATTTCTGCCTGGCCAGGCATGGCTCAGTGGTTGAGCATCAACCTAGGATCCAGGAGATCGTAGTTTGATTCCCGGTCAGGGCACATGCCTGGGTTGCAGGCTCCATCCCCAGTAGGGGGCGTGTAGAAGGCAGCCGATCAATGACTTTCTCATCATTGATGTTTCTGTCTCTCTCTCCCCTTCTCCCTTCCTCTCTCTGAAATCAATAAAGATGTATTTTTTTTTTAAAAAAGTTATTTCCTAGCGTATGTGCAAATGGAGGAAATAGACAACAATAAACAGCCACAAAGAACCTTCCCTTCCCTGACTGGCCCTCCTGAACATGGTGCTCACAGGCTGCCCCCCAACCCCACCCCCTGATATTAGCTCCATCAGCCACATGCTTATGACACCCTGCACAGAGGTTTTAGGGTGAGTCTGATCACAATGTGCCGTGGAGCAGTGCCTGTCTTTGGCTCAGAGCCACATTGGTCGCAGACATTCCACGGAAGGGATCTAGATGCTGAGATATCACAGAGGCTCACAGAAAATAAGCGCATCTCCTTTCAGAAGAGTCATGACAATGTCAAGACAGGAAACACACACATAGGCAGGAAGCAGAGCTAGTGTCTTCCCTCATTTTACAAGGAAGGAAACTGAGGCACAGCCCCTAAGTGGTGGGGTTGAGGCTGGAGCTCAGGGGGTTGGACCCCTGAATCAGTGCTCACCAGTGAGGCACATATGTGCACATTATATTTAAACCAGATCCTCATCATCCTCATGTCACAGGTGAGAGGGCAGAGGCATCTTAAGGCCTATTGCCTTGCCCAGGGTCAAAGCTGAGCATGGGAAGTCTCAACAGGTTCCAAGTAGGTCAAAGGGAAGAAAGAGCTCTTGATTTACCCCAAGGGCAGGCCTATGGGCACCCAGACAAAAAGATAAAAGCTATACAGTCCAGCCTATGTGGTGTGGGAGGGCACAGGTTGATTCCCTCAGGAAACTTGCCCAGGTTGCCAGCTTAGTCCCCAGTAGGGGGAATGCAGGAGGCAGCAGATTGATGATGTTTCTCTATCATCAATGTTCTATCTCTCTATCCCTCTATCTTCCTCTCTCTCTCTAAAAAAAATAAAAAAAGAAAAAAACCAAAAAAAAAGCAAGCTGTACAGTCCAGGAATCAGCAGGGCTTGGAGGCAAAGTGGAGATAGGAGCTCAAGGGACCTGCAGTGCTCCTCCCACCAGGAAAAAGGGTCCTTCTGCATATGTTTATAGAAGGAGATTTCCCATACCACAAGACTGATTATTTCTTTAGAGAAACATTTATAGGATGCAATAGTCTTCTCTAGCCAAACTAATTCCAGGTCAGGGAAGCCCAGCGGCAATACTCCTGGCACCTACCAACCAGAACCCATAGCTCACCTGGCTGAGCTCCTCAGCCACTTCTTCAAGGTGCGTTCACATGCCAGAGCTGCCCACAGAGGACTTAAACATACCCACCAACCACCCTACCTGACTCTAGCACCTTTGTACAGGCTCAGCCCTCCACCTGGAGTGTCACACCACTCTGCACTGGGACCCAAGAGCCACTCCTCCTCCACCCCCAGAGCGCCTTGCTTCAGTTGTCACAACACTGGGATAGCTGTGCCTTCACCCACCTCTCCCAGCACCAACACCCATGATAACTGGGGTGCAAGGTAACCTCTCCCAGCCCTATTCCACGTGAGCTCCTGGGTGTGCACCTGCTCACTCATTCACACCACAAACATACACCAAGGGCTTAAACCAGGTCAGGCCATTTGTGCCCCACGGTGGCATCGCCCACAGGCCAGGGCAGCACCCTCCTACCTGGCAGAAGGAAGAGTGGGCCGCTATAATCACCCGCCCAGTGTCCGTCCTCGGCCTGCAGTCCCATATAAAATGTCATCCCATTCAGAGCCCCCTCATGGGCTGTGTGGGCTTTGGGCAGGTCTTTAAAGTAACTCTCCTGCAAAAAAGAAAAGAGACGAGACCTGAGGGGGATCAGTGGCCAAGCTAAGGGGAGCCCGCATCACTTACAATCCAAGTCAAAATAATGAACCTGAATTACTTTAAAAGTTTCAGCTGTTTCAATCAATCTGAAACTCTTTGATGATGGCATTACCATCTCAGCAAAGTAAAAAGAGTTTTACATTCTCATGGTTTTGCTTTCCAGTAAAACATATTTGCAAGTTTCTTCACTTCTCCAAGATATCTTAACTAAATAAACCAAGTGCCCAAGAGTGTGGAGAGGGGCACTGATGCCCACCCGGACCTGAAATTCAGACCTCTCACAGAAAGGGGCAAGGGAGCAAAGAGCAACTGGAGGCCAGGGCACAACCACAAGATCCCATTTATATGGAATACTCTAAATAAGATAGCTGAATTTCTTATATGAAATTCATTGGATGAAAAGCATTTTTTTTCTGCCATGGCCGGGTAAGTCAGTTCATTGGAGCATCATCCTGTACACCAAAAGGTTGCAGGTTCAGTTCCCAGTCATGGCACATACCTAGGTTTCAGGTTCCATTGCTGGGCAGGGCCCATAAACCAATCAATCTTTCTTTCACATTGCTGTTCCTCTCTTTTTCCCTCCCTTTCTCTCTCTCTAAAATCAATAAAAACATATCCTCCGCTGAGGATTATGAACAAAAAAAAGCCCCAAATATTTTTTTCTGGGAAAAAAAAAAAAAATTGGAGTAGTTTCTTCCACATGACTTAGTGATACAGGAATTAATGCAAAGGGGTCCATTCAACTCATGCCCTATCTTTAACCAGCTGTAGTGACATGTGGTCCAGGACCCACACGACGCATCCCTTCTACTTTAAAAAGGAAGAAAATACCCTCCACATGTAGCTTTTGAAAGTTCCCAATTGGTTCTTGGTGCTCCTGGCTAAGGAAAAGGGATGGGAGCAGGAGTCCCCGACATTGTGTGAGAAGCAGACTCGAGCACCTACGGTGTCCAATCCCAAGGAGTGAGCTTCCAGCCCAGTCTGTCCCCGGCCGGGGTTCTCGTCTTCTTGAAAATATGTCCACACCTGCCTTCCCCTCTCATTGCTGAGTCGCCAACGGCTGAGGTCTGTGGCGGGCTCTGTCTTACGGGGTCCTCCTCTACGACGCAGACACCTGAAAACGACCGTGAGTGGCCATCCCGACTCTTCTTTAGGTAAGAGCCCAGGGGTCTCACTTCCAACAACCCACAGGCAGGCCCTTACCCTCACCTCCCAAAATGGAAACACTCCCAGCGCCACTTCTGTCTAGCTATTGCCCCATTATTTGTCGTGGCAAGTGAAGACGCCAGCCACCAGGCGCCCCAGGCCCCCATCCCACGGGGCTCTCCCCAGGCCCCCATCCCACGGGGCTCTCCCCAGCCCTCCCTGGGCAGGCGGCCCCCAGCCCACGGGGAACCTGGCGTGGAAGCACCCTTCCCGCTGTGACCCCTCCTCAGCGCCCCGACCGCGCTCTCCCTTCTGGTGGGAGCCCGAGCCGGAGGACTCACGTGCCCTCTGTCATGACGGCCGCCGCGATCTCCGCCACCAGCTCGCGCAGAGTCACAGCGCACCGGAGTGAAGCCTTCGCGGTCTTCGCTCCCGCGCAGGTAAGCTGACACAAGAGGCGCGGTGGTGAGATGCCCGCGGAGCCAATCAGAACGCCGCGGGGGTGGGCCCCGGGCAGTGCCTCGCCACCGCACTGGCGGAGCGCGAGACGCCTCACCGCGGGGGAGGCGGGACCTGAGTCGAGGGGGTGTGGCATGGGAGGCCCGCGGGACCGGGCCAGGCGGGGCCGGACCCTGACTGGGCGAGGCTGGCTCTGTTGGCCGCCACGGGACGAGTTGGACGGAGCCTTAGGGCGAGCGGGACCTAGGGGCTGGGCGAGCCCGGCTTGGGTCCGGGGCGCGGGGCTCGGCGGGCAGCTATTCGCGCCGGCTTCCGGCGTCTGCCTCCAGGGGCCGGGGCGCCCCCGGAGGCGCGGCTGAGGAGTGCGCGGCTGGGGCGGG